GTATACGTATAGCGCTGCGACGCAGACGCTACTCGCGAGTAGCGTTTTGCCCATCATTGTTTTAAAGAGTAAGAGCTTTGATGTCTGAGGAAATTTGGTTCGTTTTAAATAGTCATACAGTGGCCGAAAAAATTATAGCCGCACCACATCAGCTGCGTTCCTTATCTCGCAGAAAAAGTCAGAGATAGTCCAAAGTACTCAGATTTAGTCCAAAAAGCGTTCCTTACATCGAAAATGACAGCAGAAATGAGAGAGCAACATTCAGTGACAGTGACTCTCTTCAATCCCAAGTAGTCAGATTTAGTCAGAAGAATTTTTGCAGGCAAAATCATGGAAAGTGTCAAACTCAAATGAGTTTAAATTAACGGAAATTAAAGAATAAACAAAAAGTGAGAATAATCTAATCTACCTTTTAATAATTTTTTTTTCGTAAACCCGAGATCTGCGGATGTTTTGTGGTTACCACCTCTAATTTTTGATGAAGAATATTTTTCTCGAAGACGTCAAAGATATGTGAAGCCATGAGAGCAGAAGTGGCCTAAACCATTTTTTTTTTTGTAATCAACTTCTTCAAATAGTTTGAAATGGGTAATTCTATTTAAAAGAGGAAAACGACATAAATTTAAATATGGCCTAATTATCTCTATTTCAGCAGTAACCTCTTATTAAATGACTACATTTCATTAATCTGTGGTCTTCAAGTCATTTAAATCATTTATACCATGTATGTAAAGACGTTCATTATTTTACCTTTCGAAAATTATTACGTCATATTCATAGTCGAAATAAAATCGACTATAACGTTAGTTTTAGCTTTTTTCAACGGAACATCTGCCAAAAAAGCTGCTTAAAGTAGACTTTATTTCATCTATGACTATGCCCCATTACACCAGTCAACGCGATTTTTGGGTCCGACTTCCGACATGTTAAATTTTAGTTTCTCCTACGCTAAAAATAAGAGAAAAAATTATTTTTTTGAACAAAGTTTGCTTTTGTAAAAACTAGAGCAGTTTTTCAATTTTTCTGTAAAAATCACTAATTTTTATATTTTGTTTATAATCTTACTTCAAATTACGATTATAAAAGTTTTTGCTGGATATCAGAGTCTTTTTTATTTAAGATTTGTGATAAACAATAACATATAAATGTAAAATAACAAGAAATGAGTGTCTAATAATGAAAATTGTTCGTATTACGTATACTTATCGACATAAATCAGACAAAAGCAAACTTTAAGAACTAAAAATGAAAATTCTAGTGTTCTTTAATGTTTGGAATAAGAACCTAAGCATGAGAACAGAAACCCAAAGAAAAAATTTTTTTTTTGTTGACCGGTGTTATTTTTAATAAATTGTTAATGAAAATCATCCTTTTCTGTCAAAAATAATTTTTTCTCTTAAAATAATAACCTATTTATGAGGGATATATTAAAAAGACCCAATATGCATATTTTGTATATAGTATGAAAAAAGAGCAGTTAAAAAAGTACTTACATCATTAAATAAATAATAAATTTAACACAAATAATTTGGGGGAAATGCTAAGCTACAAAAACGGTGCATTAATTCATGCTACTTCTGGAGATTTATTCGGAAAATGTTTGACATAATAAAAAGGTTTAAATCAGTCAAAATCTGGCCAGGGGTGTAATTTTTAAGTGCCTTTGAAAAGTAAATACTAAAAGCATGTTTAAACACATAAGAAAAAAATAATTTATGAGGGAATTGTCAAAATGTGTATATAGAATTTTAAATCAAACAAAAGGGGCAAAAGTCGCATGATTTTTTGGAAAAGTCTCAAAGCAAGCCTATTTTTAAAAGGCGGTGTCAGGAGGCGCCATTCTCCAAAAAGTATCAATTTGACACTTTAGTCGCACAACGGTAACACTGATGGAACCACACTCAAGTAGCACACTGAAAATTTGTTTATAGTAATTCTGTAAGCGCGATCAGATAAATACCCAGAATTTATGCTTAATTCCGAATTTCCACTAGGCATTGAAATGACAAAAAATGTCTGCCATTTAAAAAAATGCCATGTGGAAATGATTTTAATGATTATTTTTTAATGACCGACTTTGTCATTTGTCATTTTTGCCATTTAATGCCTAGTGGAAATCCAGCATAAGTATTGTTTTTTGTCTAACTAAAATGGAAAAATAAAAATAAAAACATGTAATTACCAATAAAATAAAATTAAGACAAACTTTATTATCATGTATTTTATGAAAATAACCTAAAAATATGACATTTACTTTACTTTGTGAAAAATGAGGGGCCCCTTTAGATGTTCTTATCAATTCCCAGTAACTTGCTGAAAAATTATTATCAATCCCCCTTATTCTAGAACCCGAATTTTCGTAATCCACATGCTGCAAACCTTGCGGAAACATGTGGAGCATTGCCAGCTATCAGTTGTTTTTCGAAGATAGCTGAATGAAGGGAAACAAAGTGGAAATGAATTAAAAAAACACTCATAGCAGCAGAGTAAGAGGGTGCTATTGCAATGGATTCAGAAAGGTGTGCGGAGTTGTCGGGCATAGTAACCATGGGCGCATCTATGTCAGCTTCTGGTTGCATTGTTGAAGCACAAGCCAGAACTCCTCCTATGCCTGAAGAACTGGTTCCCAATCCAGTTAGAGCAATAACAGCTTCTTCCAAGCCATTGAAAACATGCATTTTGCTAGGTGCACCACCTGTTGCGCTTGCTTCTGCCTTCGGCAGCGCTTAGGGATTATATATAGAGTTATAACTCTTACTAAGTAGAATTCTCCTTTCTGTGTTGCCGGAGAAGAGGCACTTCCGCATGTCAAAGGTATACAGTATTTCTTGTGCATATCACAGTATTTTCGCGCAGAATCCACATCGAATTTTTCAAAAAAGTGCATAGTGCAAACCGAATTTATTAATAATTTGAAACATTTATTTTAAATAAAAGTTTCATCCTCTGATTATATGTGTATGTTAAAGTTTTTGGATTCCGGTTATGCGCTTGGACACAACAACCGAAAATCGTTGAACAAATAACTAAACCGGACCCAAGTTTCTCGATAAGGGGAAACAAAGATTCTTGCTTGCTCGTTTACATAAAGTAGTGGATAAAAATATACGTATATGCGAAAGGCAAATTTATCTGTTTAAATAAACACAACTAATATTTCCTGGAAACATACAGAGATTTACATCTTTTATCTCACCTCCGACACAGAATTGTTTTCGTACAAAATTACGCAAAAAAGCTTACGCGTTCGTTTTTAGGCATGCCACTGTTACGAATATAATATATGTATAAGAATGGGATTTTTTTTTATTCTAATCGGATTAAGTCCTACCGGGCCGTGCCAGGTCGGGTTTCGCTAATTTTTTCTCGGCGCATGTTCGCGCGGGTTTTCAAATGTGATTTCTGTACCGAGCCGGAAAAATTAGGCACATGTCTACAAATCTGTAGTTCGAAGTCAATGGATGTATCAAACCGAGGCTGGATATTTTTCTATAATTATGAATCAAACTATTTAGGGCTTAGGGGGTCACTGAAGTGTTAAAACGTGTTACCTCTAATTTCCTTATTGACTTTAAAGAAAATTCATCTAAGGCAGAGGTGGCATCAAACCCCACGTAATAATGTCAATAAACAATTTAAGCTGAAACATACAAAGCCAGACAATAAAAATGCGCTATAATACAACAAATTAACAAACAAACGATAAAAAAAAGATACAAATAAAACATTTGGCCCACATAATGCAAAAAAGTGACAACTCACTGAATAAATATCACACTAGAAAGGAAACCCGCGAAGAGTAAATATTTAAAAATGTCAATTATGGAGGTAAGCTGATAATTCCAAAGCGAGGGCAGCACAAAATAGGAAAACAACGAAAAAGCACCGTTACAAACGCATTCGAACGCGACAATGATCTTCGAAGAGACGGCCGTCTGCGTACAACCGGATCGTATCGCATTAACAATGCTCTGGCCCACATTGATTAGACGACGAAGAAGCGAAAGAGGTACGCAGACCGGCTACTCACTATTCTCCAGCAGCTCTGGCATTGACGCCACATTTCGACGCATATTTACGCATAATTTACAGCCCATTTTTGTGACTCCAACGGCAAATAGCGCTTGACGTTGCGTTTTTCAAGTGCATGGCTGCGCATGCGCACCATTCAAGCGCAACACGACAGCGAGGGAGTTGTCATGAGTTGTTTGTTTACTCACAACTGACTTTGGCTTAAAAGGCAAAATGCACATACAGCCGGGCTCCCATTTTCATTTACTTTTGCGTTTTGCGTTTTCGTAAAAATCGTACGTTTTTATTTTTAGGTGCTCTTGAATTCGCAACTTTTTGTTATCGATAAGTTCCATTCCTCACTTTGTTTCTGGTATAGCAAAACAGCTGTTTTAGCTATTTCAACAAGTTATAAATTAACAAAAATGCCTTTCATTTTTTCACTAGCGTGTTTTGAAGCAAAAAGATTAAAGAAAAAGACAGAATTGAGGAGACTAAAGCATTTAAGGGCAAGGTCAGATATTTGTACTATGCCAGACGAAAGGTGAGTTGTATCCAAAGCCATAAACTGAGCTATTTATTACACAGTTATTCTTTAGTTTCTTAAAGTCATTCCGGGTGGACAAAGACACGTTTAAAATTATTCTACAAAAGCTCCAGCCACATTTAAAAACAACTCGGTTGCCACAATCAATTCAGTTCGCTGCTGTTCTTCGCTTCCTTGCCACTGGTTCCTTTCAGTTATGTGTTGCAAAGGACCACCACATTAACATAGGCAGAAGCACGTTTGGGAAGGTGTTGCACAAATATATTCCTTTAATGGAAAGTGTGCTATGTGCAGAAAATATCTCGTTGCAAATGACTGAACCGCAAATACAACAATCCAGGGAGAACTTCTATAGGAAATACCAGCTGCCTCGGGTCGTTGCGTGTATCGACGGGACGCACATTCGATTACTAAAGCCAGTTCAAAATGAGTCAGCGTTTTTTAATAGAAAAGGTTTCTTCAGCTTGAATGCTATGCTCGTAAGGACTCAATCTATAAAACTTGTTTTTGATTTATACCTCTTTTTCTAATTTAGATATGTAACCATAATATGGAAATACTTGCAGTAGACGCCACACACCCTGGCTCATGTCACGACTCATTCATTTGGAAAAATAGTCAGGCGAAAAACTATTTATCGAGGTCAATAAATGATAATTTCATTTTGGCAGACTCCGGTTATGCACTGGAAAGATTCGTGCTGACTCCATATAGGAATGCAGAATTAGGAACATTTCAGCACAAATTTAACATGAAACATGCAGCCGCGAGAAATATTGTCGAGCGCACTATTGGCGTTCTCAAAAGTAGATTTCGCTGCCTACAACATGGTTTAAATTACGAACCTAAATTTGCTTGCAAAATCGTTAATGTGTGCTGTGCACTACACAATATTTGTCGCCAACGTAACACCCCATCTGAAGAATATGTAGAGCACAATGAATCTCTTGAAAACGATAATGCAGAAAATGAATACGAAGATCATCAAGATGGAGTATCATTAAGGGATGAAATTGGAGTATCATTAAGGGATGAAATAGCTCGTATAATTCGTTAACTGCAGTTCAGTAGTGTACAAACAATTACGTATAAAACTGATCATCCAATCTTCTTGCAACGCTAAAAATTTTTTAAACTAAACTTTTTATAAAACCTTGGTTTATACAATAACAAATTAATTCAGTTTTGTAGCTCGCATTCAAATTTCAAACAAATATATCATGTATTTAAGCAAACTGAAAATGTCATATTTCATTTATTTATGTTTTTAATTAACTCAAACGTAACATGTGTGTAGTATAATAGGCGGCATACACCATACGTCTGACTAGCGAGTTATAAGCGCACCACATATTGACAACTTTTTACAATTATTTTGTTTTGTTTAATTTTAGTTATTTTTTATAAAAATCTAGTTTATTAATTAACAAAAACCGTATAAATCCAAGTTTGAAACAATGTGCGATGTGCGAAAGTTTGTTGAATTTTTTTTCAACTATTGCACATTGATGCAAACTTGGATTTATACGGTTTTTGTTAATTAATAAACTAGATTTTTATAAAAAATAACTAAAATTAAACAAAACAAAAAAATTGTAAAAACTTGTCAATATGTGGTGCGCTTATAATTTTGACACTTGGTGTATATTTATTGCTATTTGTAAAATTCTCTTATATGAGTAAGGCACTTACAAATTTATATTTTAACATACATATGTGTTTTTAAATACTTTTCGGTTTTAAACCAGAACAAATAAATAAATAATATGTAAAATTCATAACATATATAAATAAGGTTCAATGTTATTATTTCGCTAAGTTGTAATGAAAAAACATAACTTAAATGATATAAATCAAAGTTTAAAACGTTGTGCTCTTTATTTTAATTAAATGCTTACTGCTTCAATAAAAACTTTGTACATACAGTGGCGCTTACGTAAATAGCACACTTATTTTTTTACAATATTCACAATGTTTTGCGTGATAAATTTTTTCCTTAATAATATATATAAATATAGTAGATTCTATACCATAAACCATATAAATCAAAGTCTAAAACTTTGTGCACATTTCACGAAAATTTAACAAATTTCAAAAAAATGCCATCACAATTTTAAAGTTTTTATTAAGAATCTTTAGAAATTTATTGGGTATGCAATTTTGTAGCCCATTAAATTTTAATATGATGTTAAGCAGGTTTGAAAATTCCATAAAAAAATAGATGTTGTTCATGCGTTAAATGGAAGAAAATGTGCAACGCCCAATCAATTTCTAAAGGTTCTTAATAAAAACTTTAAAATTGTGATGGCATTTTTTTGAAATTTGTTAAATTTTCGTGAAATGAGCACAAAGTTTTAAACTTTGACTTATATGGTTATGGTATAGAATATTCTATATTTATATATATTATTAAGGAAATAATTTATCACGAAAAACATTAGGGGTATTCTCGATCTGCTACAATCTGTCTAGCATGGTGCATAAATAGCATAATTTTATTAGGGGTATTATCGATCAGGTGCATACTGCCTAGCATGGAGGATAGATAGCATAAATAGCATGATTGGCTAATTTTGTTGTTGTTTGAACACATGAAACAACAACAATCTTGCTGTTTATGCTATCTATCCTCCATGCTAGGCAGTATGCATCGGATCGAGAATACCCCTATTGCGGATATTGTAAAAAATAAAAGTGTGCTATTTACGTGAGCGCCACTGTATACAGTAAGCGGTCAATCAGTTACGACCGAGTACGAAATACTGGATGTAACAAAATTGGGCAAATTTAAACTTTTTGGTTAGTTATAAAAATATTGTCTCTCATATAACTAATTTCATATCAATTGAATTTTCCAACCTCATACACAATTTAAAATAATTCTAAAAATTTTCTTCAAACTTTCAAAGTTTTTAACCGGAATTTCAAAAATAAATTTGAGTATGCAGTTTTATAGTGCATTAAATTTTAGCGCAACAAAGTTCAGGTTTGAAGCCTCAAAAAAATCACGTTTATTTTTAATAATTTTCTGTTTTTCGAATTTTGCTCTACAAAATATTTATGTTTATATGGTAAAAACAGGAAAAAACAGCGGACAAAAAATTATTAAAAATCAACGTGACTTTTTTGAGGCTTCAAACCTGAACTTTGTTGTGCTAAAATTTAATGCACTATAAAACTGCATACTCAAATTTATTTTTGAAATTCCGGTTAAAAACTTTGAAAGTTTGAAGAAAATTTTTAGAATTATTTTAAATTGTGTATGAGGTTGGAAAATTCAATTGATATGAAATTAGTTATATGAGGGACAATATTTTTATAACTAACCAAAAAGTTTAAATTTGCCCAATTTGGTTA